TTAATGTATTTAGTACAGGATCTACAGGGTCTTGCTACACAGTTCGGACTTGTAGTGATTCTCCTGTTTTTAGCCTCCCAAGCTCTGGGATTACAGGCATGTGCCACCATGCCCAGTCTCAATCTCAGTCTCAGTGTGCCCCAGGAGCAGGTCCAGCACAGCACACCAAGGATCAAACCCTTGGCCCCTGCATCTGCCTAAGCAGGCACCTTAATCCGCTGAGCTATCTGGCCAGCCCTATGTATTCTTGACAAGAATCTTTGTCTGAGAAACAGCTGGCAATTTTTTTTTCCCCACATGTGTTGTCTCTTCACTGTGTTGGTGGTTTCTCTTGCTATGCAAAAGCTTTTCAATAAGATAAGAAGTCAGTTGTTGATTCTTTATGATAGTTCCTGTGTGATCAGGATTTTATCATGACTCTGAAGGAAGCCAAGTGGTATGTCCATAGCACACAGCCTTTCTCTTCCTTATTATTTTTCACATAGCCTTCCACAGGGTCTGAAACCCAACCCTGACCTGACTCCTCTGCTCCTTTGTCCTCTGCTGGGAACTTAGCCTGGGTGAAGGGAGGCTGAAGTCCTGGGACCGAGGGGTGGCATGAGGAAGTACTGCCAGGAGCAGGAGGCTCTGCCCTCTGCTTTGGGATCCCTGTCCCTGTTGGGGACAAAGCAAAGTCTGAACCTGGGTGGGGACAGATCAAGCAAAAGCCTAGATAGGACTCCTACTTCCTCCAGCAGTGTTTCCAGGGCCAAGAGCCAGCCTGGGCAGCAGGGCACTGTCATGGGCCCCTCTGGCCTTTGGATGACTGGGCAGGGTCCTCCCAGATGACTCTCTGCTTTTGACCTTCCTTATACTCTTCTTTCCAGTTTTTTTTTTTTTTTTCTTTGTTTTGTTTTTTGAGACAGGGTCTCGTGATGCAGTTAGGATTGGCTTCAAATTCAAGACAATCCTGCCTCACCTTCCTAAATGCTGGGATTATAGGCATGCATCACCATACCTGGTATAAATTTTTGTTTTATTTATTTTATTTTTTGTCTTTTTGAGACAGGGTTTCGCTATGCAGCCCAGGCTGATCTTGAACTCACAATGATCTGCCTGCGTTAGCCTCCCAAATGCTGGGATTATGGGCATGCCCTCTTTTTCTTTTTGTACCAGGAATTGAACTCACAACCTCACATTTGCCAGAAAGGTGCTGTTCCATTGAACTATATCCCCTGCCTTAAAAATTTATTTATTCATTTATTTATTTATTTATTTGTATTTTAGGGGAGGGTCTACTGGGTGTTCAGGGTCTCACTAATAGATTGGACTCATAGTGATCTGCTTGTTTACAACCTCCCAAAAGCTGGGAATGGGTGGTGTGTGCCACCATGTCCAGTCTCATTCACTGTCCCAGTGTGCCCTAGGGGCAGGGCCAGCAAGGCAGGCCTGGGGATTGAACCCTTCACCCCTGCACCTGCTTTAAAATTTTATTTTATTTATTTATTTTTAAAAAATGTATTTGGGGGGTTCAGAGGGGTAAAAAAAGGGTCTCACTGCCTAGATTGGACTCATGGTGATTCTCCTGTTTTCAGCCTCTCAAGCACTGACATTACAGGAGTGCACTGCCACACCCAGTCCCAACTGCTGTCTCAGCTTGCCCTGGGGGTGGGGCTGGCACAGCAGGT